GGGGGGGGAGCAGAGCAGGGTTGTGGGGCACCGGCTGAGCTGTACATGGAAAGTGTAGGACTGGAAATATCAGAGGGGGCTGCAAGTGACGACTGAAGTGTCTTGCCAGAGCCATACGGGGGTGCCCAGGACTGCACCGCGCTGGCAGAGCCGCACGTGCGAAGCTGGCGCAGGCTCTGTCGAATCAGCTGTTGGTTCCTGACTTAAACGAACCCTAAAAACGCACCAAATGAGTCTGCTGCCCATTTAACAAGGAATCCAGCTGGATCCCCTGGGTGACTAAACGCCGGTGGATGGGCTCTTTGCACCTGGCCTGAGGAGCTCATGGAGATGGCAGCTCTCTGCGCTTGGCTCACCCAGGGCTGGAGGGACTGGGCTGGGGAGGATTAAATTCTGCTGCGCAACCAAATTAGCCAAACGCCTCCCCCAGCTTTTCTTAAGGCCGTCCCCACCCTCTGCCCCCGTCTCTTCCTTCTCTCCCCCTCTTTCCTAGGGTTCTCCATCGCGCCTTCTCCCTGCAGCTCGGCTGGACCGTTCCTGGGGAGATCTGGTGCTTCCCCTCCCTGCTTTGTGTGCGGTTGTGGGCACCGGGCTGGTGTCTGCGCTCGGGGCCGGGCTGGTTCCTCCCGGGGGTCTGTGCTCATGCTGTCTGTTTTCTGTCTCTCCACCTGCCTCCCCGCCGCAGCTAGAGGAGAGCTTGCGCCTGAGGGGGACGGACCCGGTGACCAATGCTGACGTGGGTATCCTGCAGTGGAAGGCTGTTGCTGGCTGGAAAGGCATGAACCCCGCACAGCAGATGGGTAGCGAGCGCACCCCTGTGACCCTGGGTGCCTCAAAATACTCCAGACCTCCCCACTCCCCCTGGCCAGTTGGGGTGCACGGCTCACCACGCTGCCGAACCCCTCTCTGATTGGAGTAACTGACGAGGGGCTTGGACCAGCTGCCTCCTGGCTGAATGTCCCACTCGACATCCCTGCAAAGGCAGGATTCTCCTGCCCATCACGGAGCGGGAGCCAAACCCGTAACCCACAAAGTTCTACAGAACGGGATGACTTGTGCCAAGTTAACACCCACTCTGGCCCTGGGAGGGGCCTAATCCAAACCCCGCTGAACTCGGTGGAAAGGCTTCCATTGATTTCAGCATGGATCAGGCCCTGAGTTCCTACAGATGCTGCTCGTAGATGGTCCGTCCTCTGACTGACTGGATAGGAGCGAGAGCCCCCGTCTCCCAGGCCCCTGTGCCCCTCGTGAGACACAGCTGAGCCTCGAGCATGGTAGCTCGTAAATCACACCTTAAGGTTCCCAGCTCCCTCCGCCTCGTCAGAGCAGCCTGGCCCTGTTTTTACGTTCATGGAAGGAGCCAAACCCCGACCCAGCACGGGCTCGTGTGTAACATCCCCAGGGAAAGCTCCGTGGCTTATGTGTCCTGTCACTGTTGCTGTATACTAGGGATCCCCATTGGCGGTTGGATGGCTCCTGGGTGGGAGCTCCCTGCCTGAGGTCTGTGTGCATGTACGGGAGAGACTTTTATCTCGCGCAGCAAATAAATTAATGAATCCCCCCAAATAGATGATCTAGTTTTTCCTGCCCTTGTTAGAATGTGCGACAGGTATTTTTAATGCTTGTTAATGTGGCATAAAGTCCCCAGAAGTTACGCTTCTCAGTGGTCGGCCAGTCCCACGTCCTCTTGTGCTTACGCAGCTCCCCGGGGGTCTGTGCCCAGCAGTGGAAACTGGTGTTACTGGCATGTCCTCTCGCCACTAGCTCGGTAACCTTCCCCCCCAGCCCAGCGCAGACAGGTGGAGTCTTGTTCACTCCAGCCTGGTTTCTGACTCGGGTCATGTGATAACGCAGATGATATTAGACCAGGAGTCTGCCTGCCCGTGTCATGCAAGATGTGACGTTGCCCTGGTGCGAATTGCCCTGTGTGCCACTTGCTACAGATTCCAGACCCCTTTCCCAGCCTTCACAACGGCTGCCCCCACCAGCTAAGCAGCATTGCTGCTGTTTATCCTTTCAGGCTTTGGCAGCCCAGGAGGCTGGCTATGTATAGGTGATCTTCTTTGCAGTCTTCTTTGTAAGCACAACATTTAATTGCCAAGTCCCCTGGGATCTTAAATTTGCATGCAGATGTCGGTCCTCGCAGAGTTGCTGTCTTTGCTCTCAGAACTCTGTTCGCCTTTTGCTGGGGAACACAGGGCGGTGACCTTTTTCTCACCCAGCCAGGGGTTCGGTGCATGGCTTACGTTGCTGTGTTCTCGCGCCTGGGAGGGTTTGCTTTGCATGCCGCGGGGCTCTCTTCTTGTTGTCAGTCAGGGAAGTGCCTGCCCGGTTAGCAGCATGCAGCCCCTGTGGCACCCGGGCTCTGTGCTGTGTATGTGGAGTGGCCCCGAGCACTGATCTCGCCATGTCTTTTGCTGCGGAAGCTGGAGCAAGCCATCCGCTGGAGCTGTCGGGGGTTGGGCACCACGCGCGTGGAAGAGATGGAGCTGAGGCGGAGGAACCAAATGGTAAGGAGCTCAGGTTGGCCTGGGATGGCCTCTGTTCTGTTGGCCGCCGCGGAGCAGAAGTGGACCCGCTCTGTAATACATTGAGTCTCTTCTCTTAGATAAGATGAAGGGAAATCAAGGATTTAGAGAGGCTGTGTGGCCTAGTGGATAGGGCATTTGCCTGGGAGTCAGGAGACCTGGGTTCTGATGCTGCCACTGATCTGCCTGTGATACCTTAGGCAAATCATTTTGCCGCTCTGTGCCTCAGTTTCCCCTCCCACCTTTTCTGTCTGATCTATTGAGGCTCAAGAGGGCAGAGACTGGACTAAACGTGTGATCAGTGCTTAGCACGACGGGACTCTGATCTCGGCTGGGTTCTCTATTACAGTAGCATCTACAGAGAAGAAGGCACTGGTATCTTAGACTCCAGCAATAGATGCAGACCTAGCCGCAGGCAGGGGACTGCTTTCAAGGCATGTGGGAGGCTGGAGGTGGTGGAGACCCGTCAGTCAGGGTGGCTAATCAGAGCTGCAGCAAAGTGTCTTTGCCCCTCTGTGCGGAGCAGGCCAGGTGGCGTGAGGATCAGCCGGGTTTGGGGCAAGAAGGCTGACACCTACAGCGCCATCAGAAGGTGATGTGACTCGGAGAGGCCTCTGCTGCAGAGAAACAATATTTATACCTGACCCCAGTGGGCACCCCAAAGCTCACGCCCGTGGCGGAGGATAAATACTCTGGTCCTAAGAGCTCCGTCAGTTGTTGAATGGCTGCTTTGATCTTTTGCGCGTAGCTGGGGAAGGTGAGGCTAGACTGGTCAGTTTCACTTTCCAGGCCTTCTGCTCTAGCCTGAAGGCTGTTGAGTGCGAGATTCCTTCCCAGCTCAGGAACTCTCCTCGGTCAGATTGCCTGGTGCAGACGGATCAGGGAGGCTATGCAGAGGCAGCCGAAAAGGAAGGGTCCCGGGGCCTTTCTTTGCAAGCGTAGCTTGTTTTCATTGAAGTATATCGCTGACCCTTTCTGTTCCTGTTAGTTTTTTTGTAGCTCTGTGTCTCTGCCTCAGCTGCCGGATATTTACTTCGATTGCAAGTTCTTCAGGGCAGGGGCTGCGCGTGTGGTCTGGGTTTGTGCAGGGTGCTGGTCCATGATGGGCCCATAGGTGCTATTGCAATGCAAAAAGTACAAATAATGTCCCTGTAACCCTGGCCTGGCAGCAGGTTTCTACAGAGCACAAACTCAAAGACGCTGCGCACTGCGACTCCCAGGGGAAGCCCTGGATTCTGCTGGGGGCCAAATGGGACATGACAAAGGGATGGCTCGCGGGGCCAGATCGTGTGCGCAGGAGGCCGGTGGGAAGGCGCGTCTGCGGTGACCCGTTTCCCCATCTCTCCGGGCCTAGCTGGAGCAGGCCCTGCGCCTGGAGACTGGGGAGCGAGAGCGGGAGTCGCTGGAGAACAAGAGCCTGGCCCAGCAGAACATCGAGCTGCGGCGCCGCCTGGAGGAGGAACAGGCCGCCTACAAACGCAAGCTCCAGGCCTACCAGGAGGGCCAGCAGCGGCAGGCGCAGCTCGTGCAGAAGTTGCAGGCGAAGGTGCGTGTCCTGCGCTGGGCAGGCCGGGGTCTGCTGGTGGGAAGGCTCTGGGCGGATGTCTGCACTGCCATCAGGGGGTGTGGTTGCAGCTCGAGCAGGCACACCTGAGCTAGCTTCCATCTACCTAGGACTAGCCCAGGTGGCCCCGGCTTCGCTGCCACTGCTACTTGAGCAAGCCGCGATCTCGCACATTGGTTCTCAACCCGCCCAATCAGCGCACAGCTGCGGCTCATGTGACATCCTCAGGGCCATACAGGGAGTTGATAGACCAGGGGTTCTCAAACTGGGGGTCGGGACCCCTCAGGGGGTCACAAGGGTATTACATGGGGGGGGTCGCGAGCTGTCAGTCTCCACCCCAAACCCCGCTTTGCCTC